GCGCTCGCGGAGCTGTGCGCCCAGGCGAGCGAGGATCCGTGTCTGCCCAGAGCAAGAGGCACAACTTTCTAATTCAGACGGAGGCGTCATCTGGGCTGGCACCGGTCTGCCACCGCTTTACAGCTATAAAGCTCTTTCACACGCGTATCTCATTGGATGCTCTCAGCAGCCACGGGCAGCAGGGCAAGGGGTGGGCATGCTCTGGCCCAGAGGAGCACAGTGACTTGCTGAGGGCACAGGGCAAGGATGTGACAGAGCCAGGATGCCTGCGCCCCCTCTGTCTCCGCGTGGACTGGAGCCGTGTTCTGACGCTGCCCCGCCGCACATCTCCCGGCAGCTAATGAATTGCTAATATAATTTTCTAGATAATTTTATTTTCATAGCCCCACATTTTAATGTGTTTCCAAAAGCCAGCATTTATTTGCTTAATCTCCCAGTGTAATAGAATCTGCCCTGACTCATCATACATGCGGACAATCAGCTAGGCAGAAACTATAGCAAATTGGTTAATAACTCGGATCTGGTCTCGATTTTTAACTTGCTGCACCGACAGCTTTCCTGGTGTCTCCTCCACATCTCCCCTGCCCTTTCCTTTTTTCTTTTAAGATATTTTTTCATTCTTTCAGCTACTGGTGTCCAGACACAAGGCTGGGGAGAGTGCATGCGGGGCCTGCGAGCCCCCTGGTCTGTGTCTCTGGGCCTAGAGCAGTGGATCGGTGGCCAGAGGGAGCCCCACACCTTGCTGGATGTCCCAGGAAGGGGGTGGGGAGGCCCTGGGAGGGACTCTGCTGCGTTTTCTTCCTGGGTGGCGGCTGTATAATGTTAAACCTGTGACCACGGTGCAGAGCTGGCCGTCTGGGCTTCAGGTGCACTGCGCCCCGGGTCCTGCCATGCCACCTCCTGGGCGTCATTCTTTCACTCCTGTCCTTGCAGCCCCTGCCCTGGTCTGGTTCCCACCCTCCTCTAGTGGGGGCACAAAAGCCGTCAGCTCTCTCCCTGCTCCAGCCACTTGCTCGGCTGTTGGTCCCCAGCCCCCCGCCCCTGGGGTAGTTGCCCTCACATACCGGAAGGATCATGCCAGCACCCCGAGCCTTCGCGGCACTGCGTTGCCTGTAGGATAAAGTCTACTCTGTTCCCCCCACCCACCTGGTATGGCCCTCTGCCATCGGGCCCCCAGGAGCCTTCCCTGCTCTTCTCTCTCCTCGGGGCCTGTCCTCTGTCCCCACCTGCTCTGAAATTTGCTTGTGCTGTTTCCTTAGCCCGAGTCCAGTGCCCCACCTCCTAGTCCTCGCTTCTCAATACTCTTCACTTTTCAGAGCCATTGAGAAAGTCTCTCAGATCGCCTCAGAGCCTCTTGAGGCCGCCTGCCTTGTCCTCGGGGTGCTTGTTGACTGGTGTCCCCCAATAGCCTGGGTACCGTTCTCTGGTTGACCTCAGCATCTCCCTGGTCCAGGAGAGAGCCATGCCCGTGACTCGGCCCCAGCCACCCCTCCCGCCCAGGTCCTGAGCATTGCTGGGCGAGCCCTGGTCGCATGGAGCTCCTGGACCCGCGGGCTGGCGCTGGCCGCTGCTGGTGCTGCTTTGTCTTCCCGGAGAAGCCCAGGCAGACAGGTGGCAACCTCAGAGGTAGACATAGGCCCAGCCCTGTGGTTTCTGACACCAGACAGACCTCGGCATTTTTAGACCTCAGCTCTGCCTCTTTCTCCCTGTGTGGCCTTAGGCAAGTTTTTTCATCTCTGTTTTCCCAATTGTAAGAAGGGGATGCGAATGCCTGCAGTGGAGAGCAGCAAGTGTTAAATGAACCGGCAGCACAGATAGAGCGCCTCGCGCAGTGCCAGATCAGTTCCTTCCCTCTGCTCGTTGAGGCAGGAGCAAGTCCCTGCCGGCTTGTGCTGTCTCCCTGCTCAGCCTGGCCTGGTCCTGGGTGCAGGCAGCGTGAGTTGAGCATGGCTGCAGGTGCCTCGTCTCCGAGTGTCTACACAGGTGGCTGTGAGGGGTGGAGGACTACGGGGAGTGAGAGGTCTTGCCTTCCCACTAATCCATCCCAAACCAGCCATGAATGGGACGGAGGCAGGAGAACAGACCTCCTACTTGCCGTCCCCATTGGTGGACCAGGGAGGCCCCTTCCGCCCCTGGGGCTGGGTGGGCAGATGCCAGGCCTGCCCACCTTTCCCGCTCTGTCCCTCACACGGGGCTGAGCACCGGTGATATTGCCCAGATGCCATTAGAGCAGTGGTTCTCAACCTTCTGGCCCTTTAAATACAGTTCCTCATGTTGTGACCCAACCATAAAATTATTTTCGTTGCTACTTCATAACTGTAATGTTGCTACTGTTATGAATCGTAATGTAAATATCTGATATGCAGGATGGTCTTAGGCGACCCCTGTGAAAGGGTCCTTCAACCGCCAAAGGGGTCGCGACCCACAGGTTGAGAACCGCTGCCTTAGAGGGAGGTGAGCAGATGGGCCTGCTGGGGAGCTCGTGTGCTTATGGAAACAGAATCCAAAATGGTGGGCAGTGAGCCACCAGCTAGGATCCAGACGGGGGTCGTAGCTTCCTCAGGGGCTGCTGCACCCGGAGAGGCCGTGGCTCAGAGCAGCACTGGGCAGGGGCTCAAACACACAGGAAGTGGCGGCCAGTCTCGGAGGGCACCGTGGGTGCCTGCCTACCTGTGCCCCGGGTCGGCATAGGAATGGCTGGACTGCATTAAATGAAAATCTCATGTTCCTCATTAGCTTAAATCCTTTGAAAATTGCCCTTTGGTTTTGGGATGAAACCTAAGGCTCTTAATATGGTTTTCAAGACCCCACACGGCCTGGCCCTGCCTGCTGCTCTGGCTCCCCTCCCCTCTCCCTGCCTCCCAGCTGCCCCGCTCGTCTGTCTGGTCCTCCGGCCTGCGTGCTTCTCTCCAGCCTGGAGTGTTCACGCTACTATTGTGTCCTCCAGGAATGGTCTCCGCCACTCCCCCGTGTGCTGGGTGGCATCTGTGATGAGAGCAGGGGCTTTGTATCGTTTCCCATGGTGACAGCCCCAGTGCCAAAAAGAGGGTCCTGCCTGTAGAAGGCACTGAAATAGTCTTTGCTGAGTGAATGGACCCTTAAGATAGGTGCTTTAATGACTGCAGCATCGGGTCTGATAGAAGCGGCATCGGAAGGGGAAGGGGACCCCCTCCCGGCGCCGGGTGCACCGGCTCTGCCGCTCAGGAACTGCTTGGAACTCGGGACAAGCGCTTCGCTCTCGCTGCACCTCGCTTTCCTTATCTGAAGGGTGAGGATGGAGCGCCTACAGTTTAGTGATGCGATTTTAAATTAGTTACAACTGAGCAATGGCTGGCAGATGTTATCTCCGTTATTGTTATCCTCACGGAGGCCACCCTGACATCCCACCTCCTGCCCCAGACTCCGCAAAGGCCCTCTGATAGATGTGGTCTCAGTACCGTGCCTTCAACAGCACTCCATACAACTGCCAACTCCCATTTGCTACTGCGACGTGTTTTATCAATGCTTCTCTTTCTCCACTAGACTTTGGGTGTCATGGTACCGGGAGGGTGTTGATTTTGTCCCACTGGATCACATACTGGGTGCTCCATCAACGTTGCTTGTCCTGGGCTGCCTCTGGGTTCGCCCCTGAGCGCGGGGGTTGAGGGCACCAGTCCTGATGCGGGCCCTTGCACTAGCCTGGATGGGTAGAGAATGGCCTTGCGTTCAGCTTCCTGAGGCTCTCCCGGCTCTGTCTCCCGCAGGCACAGACATGGCTGTCTTCTGTCTGCTGTGCGGGAAGCGTTTCCAGGCGCAGAGCGCCCTCCAGCAGCACATGGAGGTCCACGCGGGCGTGCGCAGCTACATCTGCAGCGAGTGCAACCGCACCTTCCCCAGCCACACCGCCCTCAAGCGCCACCTGCGCTCACACACAGGTAGGCCAGCCAGGGGATGGGTGGGCCAGGGTCTCCGGGAACCAGTGTCTGGATTTACCTCCAAACACATGAAGTGGAGGTGCTGGGCAGAATTAGCCCCCAGCTCTTTGCTCAAGGATTGGGCTGGGGGTGGTTTCCACGGTACAAGTAAATGTTGATGGTTCTCCCCATCCACCTTGGGGAACTTGAGTTCTCCGTCTCTCTTTGCTCAACAGAGGGGGGTGCTCATTAGAGACGCAGTCTTGGGTCCCCCTCAGAAACTTTGATTCGTTGCATACGGGCTGAGATGCAAGACTTCAACGTTGTTAATAAATATTCCCAAGGGATTCTGAGGCAGGTGGACCCAAAACACATTTTGAGAAAAACCTACCTGCTTGGTCTCTGGTTCTCTCTGCCACACACCCCTTCGCTCTCCCTGGCCCCCACCCCGTGGACACATGTTCCCCAAGTCAGCCTTGGGCTCCGAGGGGAATGTTGCAGAAGTGGTCCCAATTGCTCCACAATAACAGAAGCCATTTCTATCCTGGGGGCTTAACCTTATTTAGGGAAGTAAACGATGAGCCATGACATGTCTCTGCCTAGCCAGTTCCAGATGCCGGGGAGGGGAGGGGCTGTCCGTCAGCGAGGCTAGACCAGGTGCCACCACACTGTAGGTTTGGGGGTGGCATGCTTGGTCCCTGAGGGCCAAGAGCGTCTGCTTCCTTGCAATCGGATCCCATCGTAAGGCGATGGGTGACTTAAATTCTTTCCTTTCTCTAAGACAAAATCGGGTCCCTGCTGACCGTACTGGATAAAGGACTGCCCACGCCTCTGCTGTGTGTGTTCTCTGCTGGGTTTGGGATGAGAGGGCAGGGCCAGGGCGACAGGCAGGCAGGCTCTATATCGGGACAGGGTGTACGTTCATGTCTGTCGGACAGGGCACAATAACTGTGCACAGACAGGTGGTTGGGCACTTTCTCTCCTCACTCCCGAGTCCTGTCACAGCCCCGGGACTACGTGTGCAGGCCAGGCCTTCCATGGCGACAGGCTCAGCGGACAAGGGAGGGGCTTTCTTTATCGTGGACTGAGTAGCCTGTCCTGCCAGCCGTGGGCATGCTCACCAAAGAGCCTGCCTGGGCCCTCGCTTCTGGATGCCACTCTGTTCAGGGGAGCATGTGGCCCGAGCATCACCACATTTGCTGGCACAGGACAGGGGGGTCCCAGAGAGTGGGCCAGGCGAGAAGGGCTCAGGCGGAAGGAATGCCGGCAGGACTGTCTCTGTCGTGCCTCATAAGCATCCCTTATAGGTCCATGCACCTTCCCGTCAACACCGCCCCCCTGCGGTCCCAAGTGGCCAGTCACCTTCAGCCACTAGCCTCCTGTGCCTGATCATCCAGCCCCACTGAGTCTACCCAGGTTACACCCAGCTCTGCTCAGGCCCCTTCAGAGAGCTCGGCTCTCAGCTGTCGCAAGCTCCTGTGTCGTTGGGGGCTCAGACCTGTGGGGAGGAGGCATCGTTTGGGAGAAGCACTTGCTTAATCTCAGAAACATGGCACCTGAGCACCGCCTGTGCACACGCACAGACTCAGTGATGGCCACCAGCGAGCCCTGTACACACAGCCACACACAGGCGGAGTGGAGCACACCCCACACAATGCCTCATTAATATTCCGTTGTTCTTGGCCCGTTTGCTGCTGGGGCCTGGTGTTTAGCATCCGCAGCTGTGTTTGGTAAGTTAGTCCAGCCGTGCTCTTGGCATTGATGGATCCCTGATTCACGCGGCTCATCATATAATAAGCTCTCAGCTGTGCTGCGTGGAGGGGCCCGAGGAGCCGTGGGGTGGGGCTGGGATGGGGCTGGGATGGGGAGGATCATGCCGGGCCTGCCGGTGCCGGGGAAACCGCAGGTGAGGGCAGGCCGCTGGGGTCACAGGTGCACTGGGCAGGCCGGAGGGGGCCCTAATTAGTCTCATTTGTCCTGTACTTAATGTCAAGCTCATTAAAGAGGCTACAGAGTTAATCAACACACCACAAATTGGATTTGGAGTTGTGCAGCCAGTTTTGTGTACATTATGGCAACACCGTCACAATTAACTCTCAGGGTAAGGATTTTGGACCAGGTCCTTGCCATGTTCCCAAAGGGGTGTGTGTGTGTGTGTGTGTGTCTTCTAAGTTTTTCTTATTCTGTTCCCTGGCTGACTCTGGAGATTTCCTATTTAAACTTACTTAACGTGTGATCCCCTTCATAATTAAATTCATAAAAATCTGATCAAACAAGCCTCTCTGTCTCCCCGTGTTTTTAAACGCGTAGGGCCCCCCTGCAGGGGACGGCACAGACGCTGGCTTCCCAGCCGGGTGGCTGTGGTGTACGCTTTAATTACCGGCTCTGGCTGAAGTCTCCCGTGGCCCTGGCTTTATTTATTTATTTATTTATTTATATCTTGATGAGGATTCTGAATCCCTGATTAAAGCTGTAATCATTGCTGATTCAGTAAGGAGGGGCAGTTGGATGTGAGACGGGCGGTATGTGAAGCGTCTGCACAGGAAGTGGCACGCGGGCATGGGCACTGACTGACCTCACCCAGCTAAGGAGGACCAGGGTCTGGTGGGCGTGCCCTCCCCTTGGGTCGGATGGGGCGGGCGGCTGGCGACAGGCAGGTGCTGAGAACCCCCCCGGGTCTGTGTGCGAGGGCTGCACTGGACCTGCTCGCTCGGGCGTGCCCCATAGGCCGGTTGTGTCCCTGAGCTTTTCCAATCCGGCTCCTCCATGGAGTTGCTCCCCTCCCCTCTGTGCCCTGGGGGCTTCTTGCAAATCTTTCACCCATGAGAGAGCTCGCCAGTGGGCAGACCGCAGCATCCACTCCCCATAGAGCCTTAAAAAACCCTTCAGAGCCATCAGAACCGATGAGAATTTATGTGGGTACAGGGGCCTGCATTCAAGAGGGGGGAGCTTGGGGTAGCGGCCTGAGGAGGGGAGAGAGAGAAGAGAGTAAAATATAATTTTAAAGAGGAAGTGAAGGCACAGGCATGCGAGTCTATAACGAGAGGGACAATTTATGCCCAGGCACGCACGCAGTTTGACATGGGGATAATGAAAAAACGTAGGTCATTGTGGATGACTTAAACCTTCAGCAGCTGAAGAAAATGTATGAAATGCAGAGGACATTACACGGTTGGCAGCCCCGCACATCTGCAGGGGGACAAGTGAAATACAGTGGGCCATCCTTTACCATAAACTGTGGTTGTTGGAGATGCAGCCCAGAGAAATTGTAATTACAGTGACAAGACGAATCAGCGATATTTAAATATTCATGAACAAAGTCTGGGGTGATCAATCTATCTTTATTGTCTGTGCCTTCGCTCCTGTAATAAATAAGTAGCTGGAGTCTTCACCTTGCAGCCCCAAAGCCCCCACTTTGGGTACAAAACGAAAAATCGTTAACCCCCACAACCCCACCCCAACCTCTCACCTTCGGGGGGACACTGGGATGCACAGAAAGGAGGCTGATGTGCGTGGATTCCAGGCGAGGAGAAGCAGTTCTCCCCGGGGTTCGAGGTTTGTGCGCCCAGCATTTCCCAGGGCCCCTCTGGGTCGTCCTCAGAGACGCACTGAGGCCACAGGGTGAATGGAGCTCCCCTTTGCCTTGATGCGCTTCCATTTAGAAGCCTGGTGGGCGTGACGGTAGAGTCAGTACAGCCTGTCACTTAGCCATCGGAGATGGTCCCATGACCAACTGGAACAGACCGGAATCTGACTCCTGACTCAGCTACTTACTAGCTCTTCGACCTTGGGGACCATGGTTAAGCATCTCTAAGCATCTCGGTTTTCTCATCTGTAAAATGAGAATAATAGTAATACCTTTCTCGTAATGTCCTTGCAGGGATTACGTGATATGAGCCATGTGAAGTTTTTCATGTCGTAGTGAGCGCTCAAAAATGTGGGCCATTTTCATCAGAAAGTGTCATAAAAATTATGCCACTGCTGCTAAAAGAACAAAATGCGGGACTTTTTTCCTCTTTGGGGACAGAGAAGAAACTGAAACCTCGTATTGCCTGGGGGGCTGGGGTGGGGACTAAAGAGAAGCTTCCAAGCAGGTGATTTTTGAGCTGGGCTTTGCAGGATGACTAGGAGTTCGCCAGGGAGAGAAGAGAAAATCAAGCGGAGAAAACAGTCATGTAAAACTGTGGAGGAGGGAAGGGGCAGAAGGCATTTTGGAATAATGTTCTCATTGTTCCCAAATTGGAGGGATTTCTTAAGGGCAGGTCCTCAGGCTGGAGTGGCTTTTGCCCCTGACCGAGAGGAAAGGAAGGGAAGGTAGCGTGAGAAGCTGAACAGCCAGGTCTCAGAGCCCCACGCCTGCTCTAGCCTCATGGGGGCCTGCTCTCTGGGGACTGCTGTTTATCTCAAGCAAATGGGCTCTCTTTCCCTGGGACTGGCCCTTGGCCCGTGGGTGCCCATTGGGCCAGTAAGGTACAGACACGTGGGAACAGGGCTCCCTGTTTATGTTCTGGGGGCCGGCAGAGGTGGGGGTCTGACCTTAAATGGCGTTTGCAGGTGGTAAAGGCAGGCACTCACCCTCCTACTGTCCCCTGAAGTGGGGGCCGGGATAGGCAAAGCCCTGAACCAGCCCCTTGTCCCCACAGGCGACCACCCGTACGAGTGTGAGTTCTGTGGCAGCTGCTTCCGGGATGAGAGCACACTCAAAAGCCACAAGCGCATCCACACGGGCGAGAAGCCCTATGAGTGCAACGGCTGTGGCAAGAAGTTCAGCCTCAAGCACCAGCTGGAGACGCACTACAGGGTGCACACAGGTACTGAGGGCCAGAGCAGCCCGGAGCGGCTCTGGAACCTGAGCGGGGTGGCGGGCAGTGGCTCCCAGAGGCGCCAGGGCTGAAGGAAAGAGTCGGGCAGGTTCTGCTAAGGGTTGTGTGCTGACCTGCGTGCCACTGCCCCTTGCAAGACTGAGGCAGGCATTGCTACTCAACCACAGCCCTTCCCGGGAGCCCAGACCGGCCCTGCGGGCAGCCCCAACCAATGGGTCCCAGATCACGCAGGATGACATCCGTCTGTGAATCCCGGATTAGGTTCCCCCAAGTAGCTGAGAGTGAAGGTTGGGATGGTTTTTTACTTGGCAGAGTAGGAATTAGAGAGCTTTGGATTAGCTTACGCTGCGGGTTGAGAAGTCATCTGTTAGAGTTAGGTTCTGAGCTTGGAGGAGCAGATATATTTAAAACACCCAAGTGTAGAATGTCTTGCCATTTCAAAGGGACTTCACGTTCCTTTTTACATAATAGAAACATGAGCTACACTTTTCCTTGGGGTCCTCAGCAGACCAGCAGAAGCGTCCCGGTGCCCAGGACTGCCAGCTGGGGGCGGTGGGTGCTGGCGCACATCCCTTCCCAACTGCAAGTTCAGTGGCCTCACCTTGGTGGCTTAGCATTGGCCATGGTGGGAGTCGTCACAGCGCGGCCATGGCAAATGCTACAGACCCAGGCTTGCACGGAACCGGTTGTTGCAGGTTCTGTCACTAGCCCACCACTGGTTGGGGGAAGGTAGCCACTCAGAAGGGCTTCCTCTGAGAATAAGACGCAGTGGAAGGTCGTCTCGCCACCTGGGGAGCCTCCTGTGATGAGAGGAGGTAGCTGCCCTTTTCAGAGGAGGGGAGAGGTGACCTCTGTGGGTGGGGAGGGTGGGCAGAGGGGACAGGAAGCAGAGGACTCGTGTTGTCATCGCTCTGCTTCTTGCATTGGCCACAGGAGAGGATGGGGTGCTCATTGCTGGCCACCAGAGTGACCCAGAGTGTCAGTCCCCAGAGGCCTGGGCCTCCTTAGCCCTTGTCGGGGATGTGGCCTGGCAGGTGGATCATTAAATGCATTGGCAGTGACTATTGTAAATAGCAGGTCGATAGTTAGATCACTTTGGCTGTTCATTACTTCATTATTTGCTGGGCCCTCTGCATGGAGGAGTATCGATAGTGAGATGGCTGGCCAGTTAATTACTGTATCGAAACGAGGTTCCCTCACTCCTCGGCTCAGCTCCAGGGGACTCCCAACAGGAGGCCGGGCACCAGCTAGCGTGGGGCCAGGCCGCCAGCTGTTCTGTCCCCCATTCCAGCCCCAGAGGGAAGGCGGGGGCCGGCGCAGGTTCTAAGAGCCCGTGATGATACGCAAGCCCAGATGCAGATGTTTGAAGGGTGAGGTCCCTCATCTCACGGCACCCCTACTCCCCACCATCTGTAGCCCCGCCCCCCGGAAGGAACTGCTGAAGGGCCATCCCCAAGGAGTTTCCGGGCCTCCCTGCCCCTGTTTCAGACCCCCATGCCCCTGCTTTGGGAGAATGAAGAAGAGGAAGGCCAGGGACTAGGGCTGTGCTGCATACCGCCACCGCGGGCTGCATGCGGCTGTTAAATCAGTGACAGGAAATACCTTGAAGACTAGTCCCCAGTCACACTGGCATATTTCAACCGCTCAGCTGCCGGGTGTGACTAGGGCTACCATCCCAGGTGCATCCACGGTGCTGGGAAGTGTGACCGGGGTGGGCGAGGGCCCCGCGTGCCCCAGGGAAGGCCCTCACAGCTCTCCCTCCTCCCGCAGGTGAGAAGCCCTTCGAGTGCAAGCTGTGCCACCAGCGCTCCCGGGACTACTCGGCCATGATCAAGCACCTGCGGACGCACAACGGCGCCTCCCCCTACCAGTGCACCATCTGCACCGAGTACTGCCCCAGCCTGTCCTCCATGCAGAAGCACATGAAGGGCCACAAGCCCGAGGAGATCCCGCCCGACTGGAGGATAGAGAAGACGTACCTGTACCTGTGCTACGTGTGAAGCCGGCCGGGCGGGGCCAGAGGAGCGGGAGCGAGAGGAGGAGTTAGAGCAGGATGAAGTCGAGGAAGGATTGTGCAAAAAATACATGTCTATACATAAGGGAAAAAAGGAAGAAAAAGGAAACCTGGTAGCTCTCTGGCCTTGAGTCTCTCTGGGGCTCCAGGTGACCAGGACGCCCCGCCAGGCCCCTTCCCGGGCCTCCGTCCTCCTCTCCTGGCTGGATTTCTGGGGTGGGGGTGGAAGGGATTTTGTTCTGCTCAGACCCTCTTTTATGTCCAGAAATGGCGTCTGGGAAGAAGGCGAAGGGTGTTCTGGTCAGAGCCCTTCTCTGCCTGCCATCCTCAGCCTCCTCAGAAGATAGAGGCTCTGGGGGCCAGGGGGGCGGCCTGCAGACGGTGGGGCCGGACGGGGTCGCTGGCTGACACTCATAGAGTGGCAGCTGGTTTGCTGGGGGCAGATTGGCGTGGGGAAGGGCGCCTCTTCCGCTCCCATCGCTCATTTCACCTGTTGCTTCCCTCTGCTCTGCCATCTGCATGTCCCTCCTGGTCTCCAGGAGCCTCAAGGCTCTTGCCCCTCCCCTAGCCTCCCCCTGCCTCCCCCTGCCTCCTGTCCTCCAGTTCAGGGAGTGCCCAGCCCCCCCCCCCCCCCCCCCCCCCCCCCCCCCCCCCCCCCCCCCCCCCCCCTTAGTGGGGAATCTGGGTCCGACCCCAGAGCCCCACTCCCACCCTTAGCCTCTGAGAACACAAAGCCAATGGAAGACCCACCCTCAGAAAGCCCTGTCCTGAGTGAGACTTGCTTCCCAGTTGGAAAAACAGCTAAATACATACGAATACATGGGTCCCACCAACACCGGACAAGGCTCCCTGCCACTCCTGGTCCCGGCCCTGGGAGAAGGAATCCGTGAAAGGGCTGCTGTCCACGCGGAAGACGTGGATGTCCTTCTCCAGGGGTGCCCTCCCCCGGAGAAGGGGGCACCTGCCAGCAGTCGGGGTGCTGGCCAAGGGGGTGCTGTTGAGTCATTCTGGGGACCTTTTAAACACCCCAGACCCGGTGAGCGCGGTGGGAAACCCAGGTCCAGAGAAGGCACAGAATTCCTGGCTCACGCCCCTCACCCGCCCCCTCCGCCCCCCAGGCCACAGGAAGAGGGGGAGTTGTTGAAAGCGCTTCGGCCTTGTGTTACTTCTGTTGTGTGTCTGGGTTCCCCTGTAGCACGTTGTGCTTGAATTACCTCAGTTTTTCGTGACCTCGTGAGCTTTTGTACCCCTGCATCTCTCTCTTTGGTTGGGGGTTGGAAGAATGGGGAGGGAGTTCTTTTCTGTTTCTTGTGTAAATTAATAGTTGGTTTAGTACCTGTTAGCTGGCCAAGGCCCCCCATCCCTGAGCGACCAGCTTCCCAGCTGGAAGGAGCTGCACAGAAGGATCGGGGCTGGGTCCCCGGAAGGTGGGTGGAGGGGGAGGTGTATTGGGGGCCTTTGGAGTCACTGTGTTGGCTCTGCCCAGAGCATGAACTCATCATGCCCAGCATCGGTTCAGGCCTAAAACGCTCTGGACACGACCCCCCCCTTTCTTATAGTTTGCTGGGTCTGGGGGCTTGTGCTATTCAGATCCTTGTGTCTGTGCGACCCCACCTCTGCGCGCATTATCATTGCCAAAATCGGTCTGTTTCCCGACTGCGAGAGATGCGCCAGTCGGGGTTCTGTTGCCCGGGGTGGGGTGTTGTTTTCTGAAAGCTACCTCTTAGGTTCGTCCGGTTCCTTTGTCCCCTCCTGCCGGTCTGCGGCGCTGCTGCCCGCTCTCCCAGCCTCCGCCCCGAGCTTAGGAAAGCACATTTGCCATGTTTGCGTTCGCTGTGGGATGGGCCCTCGGTTTCGTCTCATGCTTTATTTGTGAAAGTTATTTTCTTTCCTTTCTCTCTTGGAGAAAGTTGTGGCTGCGTTTTTATCTTAGGTTTAAAAAGTGGTTTAGGGAAGCGGTTTTGGGGAGAAGCATTGTGAGGAGAATAGGGACGTCGGAGGGATGGGCGCTGCTGGGACCACCCCCTGTCTCTTGGCCCCATCCCTCCAGTCTTGCCCACCCAATCTGAAGGCCTTAAAAACTGTGTTGGGGGTATAGCATTGGGGGGACCGTGTCGCTGGACTATTGATTGGGGTGACAAGTAGGGAGGATGCTACTTTGCAATTATAATAATGAGTTAGTGCTTGGGAAAGGAGAAGCTAAACTTGAAATCCGTGACTAGAGCAGTTTTATTTATAATGTGAAGAGGGAACTCTGGGGAGAAGCAGTCTGTAGGAATTCATTGTGCACTATGGCTTCCTCCCCCCAGTCTGGGAAGAAAGGGGGACTGGCGGGCCCCGAGATCTGTAAGTCCCAGGAGACAGTGTGTTAACAGCAAGATGTCATTGAGCTTTGGTGGGGAAGGAAAAGAAATCAAACTATTCCATAGACCTGGCTGACACCCACACTGGCCCCACCGCCCAGCAGCCAGGGTCTTCTCCCCTTTGCCTAGAAGCTGAGAGGGTGGAGCTAATCTTACAAACTGTAATATTTTGTAATGTTTGTTAGTTCCTTCGTCAGTTCTGCAGGACCTTGCCCTTCCTTTTGTAATGTGCATAGGAAAAGAAAAAGACAAAAAAAACTACCACCACCACCACCAAAACGTCCCTTTGTGTGTGTGTGTGTGTGCGTGCGTGCGTGTGTGTGCGTTTGTGTGTGTGTGTGTGTGTGCGCGCGCGTGCGTGTGCGGCGTGTGAGGTCAGGCAGCGTGGCGTCTGCTGGCGCAGCACTGGATGGTACTAAACCTCGGGAACCCCAGTAGGGGGCAGGGAGAGGGGCCGGACTGCGGTTTCTGATGGGCGCTGGGTGGGAGACCTGTGTCTTGGCCCCCACAGAGCCTCAGACACCCTGGACAGAGGCCAGCGCGCCTCCTTTTCGGCTTCCTGCTCACGGAGGTGAGAATTCCGATCTTGCCGGGGCCGTCGTGGCCAGGCCTAAGGGCAAGGTGAGGGCCGGGGATTATCTGGCAGTTTTGCTGTGTCTGGATAGAGGGGGCTTGGAGACGGGGCGGGGGGGCTGCTCCCCCCCAGGTGAGGTCTGAGTGGCTTTACTCCCCTTTCTCTCTGACATCTGGCCCTAGGCCACCTGCTGCCTTTGGCTGTGGACGGCGGACAGCCCTGCTCGCTCTGCCTTGTCCAGCGTCTCACGCTCTCCAGTCTGCAGGGTCCAGGTTGGTCACAGTCCCTCCCCTGGGTTCCCGCCCACAGGCGTGTCCCCGCTGCTTCCAGCGACACTGCCCCTCACTCTGTGCTCCTTCCCTGTCACTCCTTCACTCACTCAAAGCATTAAAATCCTATGTGTGTAGGATAGACAGATATATATAGAGAGAGATATATAGCAAGAGAGATATAAATAGTAAATATCGTTGCTGCTCTGGAGGAGGCCACGGATGTGAGGAAGGTGGGTCTGGGGTGCAGGGTGGGTAGGGGGGCTGGGGGACCCAGTGATTCAGTACAATCCAGGGATGCAATGTGGGCTTGTTTAATATTTGTGCCTGAACAGTGTTCCATGTTTAGAAAAAGGAAAAAAAAAAAAGGAAAAAAGCCTGCTGCAGTTTTCTGCAAGGTGTGTGGTGCCCTTGGGGGTGCTGCTGGCTGTGGGTGGAGACCCCGGAGGGCGAGGGCCTTCGGGCTCCCTCCTTCCGGGGAGGGAGCGGCAGGGGGCGGATCTGTGGCCGGGTCCCTGCCAGCCCAGCAGGAGTGAGAACGCGGGACGTCAGACAGAAGCAGGAAAAGCTGAGGCCGTCCGTTCATTTTCCGAGGCCTGTGGCACTGTTCTCCCGCCTCGCTTCCTCCTTTGGGGAGCTTCCCCGCGGCACCTGCCTGGATATTTCAGCAGGAAGTAAACGGCCAGGCGAACCCTTCTTGGAACCTGATGGGTGCGGGGCGGGCGGGGGGAGGGAGGGAGGCAGAGCCAGCCAGGAGGGGCCAGGAGACAGGCTGGGGAGAGGGGCACAGGCCCCACCGGCCTGTTGGCCAGCAGGCCTGCTCCCCGAGTCCCGGGTGCCCGCTCTGCAGACGGGGTACCCACCCCCTGGCGTGCGTCCTGGAACTTGTTCACACGGTGTCACGCATGACCTTTGTCAGGTGGCGGCGCCGTGGCGGGCGCCGTGACCTCCGACCCGTCTATATAAAGATAAATATATAGAGATATATATATGTATGTAAGCGAAGCACTGGGGCCCCGGCCCTGCTGGACCAAGCAAAGCCCAGCCTTCGGCGCGGGCGTGTTCTGTTGCGTTTCGTCGTTTGTTTGTTTTCGTGGCTTGTCTTTTGTCAAGTGCCGGTCCGATCGCTCTGTGTTACAGATAGTGTTTTAATTCATGGCTGTTCTAGTTCATGTCTACCTCAGCACCTCCTCTTAGCCTAATTTTAGGAGGTTGCCCAATTTTGTTTCTTCAATTATACTGGTTACTTTTTTGTACAAATCTCTCTCTCTCTCCTTCCCTCTCCCTTCCGCTGCTCCGTCCCTCTCCCCTCCCCTTTCATCTCTGTT